CCAGATATCGCTGATAAAATCGTTAGCATTATTCATTTCTAGTTACAAGTCAATTTCACGTCCCGAGTACGAGCTTGTGACTGATGGCCCCCGAGTACGAAGGGAATCCGCCAGTTGCCTTCCAATGTCGACCTGGGAACGTGTGAATGACACGCACAGAAACTCACACAGAGATACACACACAGAGACAAAGATCCCCCGTATAGCCTTAACAGACTGTAGGGGCAAGTGCTGTTAGCGAGCACCTATGAAGGCCGGAACGGTACACGAGGGGGTGGGTGGCCAGCACCACGCCCGACCGCCTTTGTCTCCCCAGTGGCGATGTTTACACACCGCACCAGGTACTCATTTAAGGCTGAGTCGACCTAGGGGAGGCCCAGGACCGGTTCAGATAATCGTCACTGGTGTTGGCCGTGAGCGGGAATCGAACCCGGGTCGCCAGGTTCATAGCGCAGCGCGCTAACCGCTACACTACCTTTCCCCACACACAGAGACACACACAGAGAGACACACACACAGACACAAACACACACACACACACCGTGTACTCTGTCACATGAAAACGCACGCACGCTCGTGGAGGAACGTGCGTGTTGCCCGGTAGGCTCCGCAGTGTTCTCGGCACTCGATGTCTTCCCGATAAAAGCAGACGAGCAGCGACAGCGCGCTCTGCCACATGCAACAACATCGCCACCGTCAAAGCTAAGCCACGGGTGTGCGGGTTCCACTGGCAGTTCAATATTTAAAGACAGTGGTAACGGTGCCGGATGAAGCGAGTGCGGGGCGTGTGGCATATGTTGTTATAAAGGGGCCATAATAAATAAAAAAAAACACGTAAATATTAAAACACAAATTTGTAACTTGCATAGTAAACTCATTGTTATTTTTGTATTTGCTATACAGCCAGATAATACGATAAATAGCTAGCCTTAAACACCCAGTCGTTCACAAAAGTTGAAGGCGTTATAGTACTATAGCAATAGAGCAAGTGCAGAATCACTGAACCGGAATTGATAGCTTGAAAGCATTTAGCGCGGGGACCCTTGAGAGTGCTGCGACCGTAGCAACATGTGTAGCTACTTTTGCTACGAGGATAATCCGACACCGAGTGGTAACACGTTCCGTCGTATTTGCTTTGGGTTAATTCGACCTCTCTTTCGTTCACGTGGGGTTCGCAGAGCCAGTTACGCAAGAGCAACGAGGGGAAACGCAGACTGACGTTGACCACCCAACCGTACTGGTTTATAGTTTCAGGCTGAGGTGACCCAGGGGAGGCTCGAGCCAGGTTTCCATATCAGCCGCCACGAGTGATGATGATGTTTTATTTTTTTAAATCGTGGATTGGAATCAAGGTCGTGCACGACTGTGATTGGTGTACTGTGCGTGCGAACCACTCCACGGAAATAGACGCAATTATACACTCACGTTGTACACACCCACGCCAACAAAGACAGCAGGTACCTATTTAAGGCTAAGTCAACCCAAGGGAGATCCAGGACACAGAGGACATCGCGTCTCACTAATGTTGACCATGACCGGGAATCAGAAGCCAAGCTAGTGGCATTGTGGAAAATTGCACGAATCAATTTTGGTGCTCCACACATACAAAGACAAAGAACCCCTGTGTAGCCCACACAGGCTGTCGGGGGCAAGTGCTGTGGGCAGGCACATATAAAAGCCGGCACGGTGCAAGGTGCGGGATGCTGTGGCCAGAACCATCCAAACACAATCATACGGTACACTCACAAGTGCACAATCATGTGTCGTTGTTCATGCACGGCATCTTGAAATGCGGTTGCGTTTAGACGTGGCTATGTAAGTCCAAATTGAACTGCATTGTGCTCGAGTATTGCGCCTTGATTCAAACCAAAAGGAGAGATACGCAGCACACCTCGTTCTGCTTGTTGTTCATTCTCAGGCTGTGATCATGGCACTGAATGAACACTTCCTCTGGAAGTGTAGTTCGTAGTTTCTCAACTCTGGAGTTACATTACTCTTGCTGGATTTGTACGCACCGGACATTCACCAGTCTCGCCCATGGCAGCATCATGCATTGACAGAAACCTTTGTGCATTTGTAATGCTTTGTGGCTGGTAGGCTGTGGCTGTAATGCATTATGGCTGTCAGAAGAACAAATCAATGGATTTGAGCGAAATATTTCCGATAATGCTTTTGATAAAGTGCGTAGATTTGTCAATTTCACGAGCCCAGTGCTCCAACTTATAATGCGTCCGAAATTTCGACGAGTTCAGGATGGCTTCATAATGAAATATATTTTCCCCTCTGCAATGTTTAATAACCGAACAATACGAGTCAAAAGTCGAAGCGATTCCTTCGCCAAACGAGAGGGGCGGGTGGTCATCTCAAATTGGCAGCACTAAGCCCGTGCGGAAAAATCCACATTCCATTGCTGGAGGGATGATGGGACCACGTCAATCCCCAACCAGGGTTAGAACTCGCACACAACCTGTCGACTGCAAGCCCGCTCGCTCTTCCGCTGAGCCACTGGGCCACTGGGCAAGTTCTTTAAATATATATTAGAACCCTTTGTAACGATGGCAATTGGTTCCGCGAAACCCGTCGTTAAGCGAGTATAGGAAATACACGTTAAAGGCTTAATTCCTTCCAATAGCATCAAAAGTTACCCCTTTTCACCCAAAAAAGTACTTTTTAACATTGAAACACTGGATATTAATGCATAAATATACTATCAAAATCATAAACATGGTTAAACAATGCAGTAATTAATATTTACTGTACCTTCAACAGCCACATTGGGCTCTATGGAGGCACTACACTGCTATACACTACACTATACACTACACATTGGGTTCTATGGAGGCACTACACTGCTATACACTACACTATACACTACACATTGGGCTCTATGGAGGCCCGTCGTTAAGCGATTAGTCGTTAGCAGGGGTGGTCGTTGAGAGGGGTTCTACTCTACACTACTATACACTACACTACTATACACTGCACTATACACTACACTACTATGCAATGCACTATACACTACACTACTATACACTGCACTATACACTACACTACTATACACTGCACTATACACTATACTACTATACACTGCACTATACACTATACTACTATACACTGCACTATACACTACACTACTATACACTACACGCTACACTACACTATACACTACACTATACAGAACCTGTTGCAATACACGCGAGGTTGTAAGGGTGAATTTACCACAGAGGCACACCGAATTGAATGCTTGTTGTCCACGTGAACTCTCCATGATTGAGTTCAAGGCTTCTGATAAACTTTGGTGATTTTTTTTTTAAATTTCCATATCACACAATTTCAGTATCAGATAGCAGTGTCAGAGGTCCCTTTCATAAGAAACCAGAGAGAGAAAAATAAAGTGGATTTGTCCACTGCTCAAATGAGCAGTGTGGATATACTGGCTTGCCTTGACGGGCAATCAGTGGTGGTGCTAGGCATGAATAAGCTAAGCAAAGGCTTTAGGCCTCCAAGTAGCTCACCAAATAACAGCTCAAACTTGAGATCGTCATAAAAGAAACAAAAAATGAAGCTAATCAGGTTATAACAACGCTTTAAAAAATAATTGTACATTATTGCTGTTAAAGTATTTTACGCAACTGTTATAAAAGGCGACTCAGCCAAATATATACGGCGTTTTTTTAAGCCCCATGCATGGCTGGCAGCATGGCTGCAAGGGGATTCCTTTGCTCAATGGAGATAGGGGAAGCCGATTAAGAATCAAACTCCGCATCAGATGACTCCAATTCGTTACCGCGCTGGGATAATTTTGTGGACAGGCACTTCTGTTTCGTTCGGCCTTCGGTGACAACTTTCTACAGTTGGTGTACTGCTGCCCCGTGTTGCTACCGCTACTGTCAGTCGCAAAAGCTGATTTTAAAAAAAAACTGTCTCGGATCAGCCATAGGACAACAACACTGCCTTGTCTTCCCTTGCACGTGCTCTCTATTGTGAATACAAATTGTGAGAAAAAACACCATCTGAAGATGCCATTGCTAATTTTGCGATGAAAATAATCTCGAAAAGTTAATCACCGGTGTTAATTTCTCTCACCTTATGACAAAAAAACGATTCACACGACTCCGTCTCTTTGTATAAACACTGTGCCTCGCCTTGCTATATAACTATATTTATTCAAGAAGATATTTTGGTTACATTCTTCATCATACAAACAAAAAAAAATTCATTATTTTGTTTTCATAGGCCCTTTAGTTTTCGTAGGCCCGAGGCACAATGCCTACTGTGGCCTAATAGTTTAATAGCGCCCTGTTTGTGGCTGGGTGAAAGCTGAAGAAGATGATGATGAAACTGGACGGGCAGAATTGCTTTGGCAGAGCATTCGAATCAAATCCCCCAGTCAAGGTTTTGTTGACTCAGCCCAATCGTCCCTCTGGGTCAATAAACTGAGAAGCCAACAGTTGTCACGGTATGGAGAGGCTGGCCCCTGCGCAAGATAGCGTGGAATTCTACCACTGGCTGGCACAGGGCCTCCTACAGATATTAGCAGCGTTCCATGCTCACTTGAGCAGGGATAGACTTCCACCTCTTCTTGACTGTGTGACGGTAATGATGATGATGATGACGACAACGATGTTGACTATCACGAAGTTTGTGACAGCGCTGTCGTTATTCTGACCTTATAAAGCCACGAGCCTTGGCAGAGTGTCATTGCAATAGAATTGCAAAATAACAGCGGAGGAAATAAATGAGTGTGCCACCTTAGTTATTGCAATCCAGAACAATTGCAAAACTAATTAAAAGCAGAATTCTGCTAAGTTAAATGTTAAGGTGGATCACAAGGATTTTCGAGTATAATTAAGAAATTTTAAGTGGGGAATATTTACTGTGATCACAGTACATCACTAAAGGGAGCTGTAATCAAAAGACTTATGCAAAGTGCGGCTTGAACTACAGCACTCCAATTCAAAGTGATGTTTTGCCCAAATGAGCATTGGGGTGGTGCTCACCTGTTTAGAGCCATGAGCCACTGGCAGAAATTCTTCATTCTTATGGCAAGGGCAAGCCTCTCCCTAGGACAACCACTCTTGACTTTCACACAAAGCAGCACTTATTTTAGCTAACTCTGGGGAAATGAATGCCTGGGTCAACCAGTCCAAACCAGGAATTGAACTCCATCACCTCCTAATCGCAAGCCGCTCACTCTAACGCCGAACCTATGTTTTTAAATTTGCAATTGATGTATTCGCTGAACGGAAGGCCAAACAAAACAGAAAAAGAAATCTAAATTATGGATCACAATCACGCAGACGGAGGCTGTAAAATTATTGAAAGCCCGTATTGTCAAGAGACTATTCCTTTTTGAATCGAGGGGGAGCAACGTCAATTTTAGCCGGAGCCAATCTTGCAACTCGAGCACATGCTCCCTGATTATTTTGTTCTTTTCTGTCGCCGTTAATCAATCCCTGTTGCCCAACCCCGCGATCATCTCGCGTGATTGCCTCGGTTAAAACCTCACCGCTCACAACATTGACGGGGCAATTTTTTCGCTGATTAGGGTCTCCGTGTGGATTATATGTAGACAAAAAAAATCTCCGTAACTTGTGACCGCAAGATGTTCTCCAATAACCCTCTTTTTTTTGGCAATCAAAAATACTTTTGAATAATATTGGGGAAGCAAAGGTCTGTGCAACCAGTTCCGTGAGCAATGGACACTGCTCCTACACGGCAACTGTTTTTGCTGCAAGTCGCTCCGGTGTATTTGCATCAGGATTGTTTTGTTATTTTAAAATAAAAACATCATTTTCGTGATTACCATATGCGGCGTTCCACGATTAAATGAATCCACGCTACTCGTTGCCGTACATTATATAATTATTTTGTTCGGGTCCTGTCAATTTAATTGGGACCAGAATTGAGGTTACACACTTTCGCATAAAATCCCAACACAGCCAGGTAATGGGCCGCGTGTCATGAATGTGTGTATGTTGTATGTGTGTATGTTGTATGTTTCAATTTAGATGTAAATTTGCATAGCTCCAGTGGCTTCCTAATATTGGAAGGAAGAGCATTCCAGACGGCCGCAAAAGTGCATCTAAAAGCACGCGATGCGGTAACCTCATTTGTTTGATGGTTGTTACACAAAGACATTATTAAACCTAAATAATAATACTGTGTTAATGCCCCATACCCATGACCACCGATCCAGTAAGCATGCCAACGTTGGGCCAAGTTGCCTCTTGACTTTGTGAGAGTAATGATGATGATAATGCTGGGCCAACCATGCCCTGTGGTCAGAACCACTGGACCAACATTATTCCAACATTGGCCCAGCGTTCATTTGTTTACCGCAGAGTCATCCAGGCTTTATTTTTACGAAGTGCTTTTGGAAATAATTGGATATACATTATTTCGATGAATTTCACGGCAACGTTGCATTACGCAATGCGGAACGCCAAAAAGAGAACACAGCAGGTGAGTGATTTCGATACGCTCGGGCAAATAATATTGCGCTGGGTGAGACGCGTGCGTCGGACGCAAGAGGGCTGCATACCGAAACAGGCATTGGAGTGGTCTCCGCCAGTCCCACGACCGAGGGGAAGACGAACAGCAGACTGCGGCATGCTGTCAGGGCAGGTCTCTGGCACACGTGTGGCTAACGTGTGCCAGCTGTGGGTTCTGGCAAAGGGGCAGGCAGCGGTGGGTGCTGGGCGGTCGCATCAAGAGCTTTCGCTGCGATGACATTTTTTTTGCTTCATGTGCTCTCGTCTACTGTAGGGATATTGGCTTGCAAAGGAAATCCAAGAGAACTCCCCTCCCCCCCCAACCGACCTGTGTGGCTAATGCTCACAAAATATGCACAGGTACGGTGACGTCCTACTTGATGTACTGCCTCTCAGAAGAAGCTAATTGCACTACAAGTGGGTAACTTGGAAAAATTACACGAGTAAGATCAACTGAGTCAAAGTCTGAAGCACGGGATTAGAGGTGTGTGTGTGTGTGATTGTGTAGCGGTTAGCGCGCTGCGCTATGAACCCGGCGACACAAGTTCGATTCCCGCTCACGGACAACACCGGTGACGATTATCTGAACTGGTCCCGGGCCTCCCCTAGGTCGACTCAGCCTCAAATGAGTACCTGGTGCGGTGTGTAAACATCACCACTAGGGAGACAAAGGCGGTCGGGCGTGGTGCTGGCCACCCACCCCCTCGTGTACCGTTCTGGCCTTCATAGGTGCTCGCTAACAGCACTTGCCCCTACAGTCTGTTAAGGCTATACGGGGGATCTTTGTCTTTGCCACACAAAAAGACCCGGCATTGGCACAAGAAGAGGCAGTCAATGGCAAGCGCAAATCACACAGCACCCTGCACTATAAGGACGTTATTATCATCAGCGGAGATGCTTGTGTTAAATGACTGAAGGATTAGTGTGCTTATTGACTTACTTGCTAATATTGGGGCACGACTGTGGTGAGATGTTAACTACCTCTCCTGGTATACAGGAGGTCGCGTGGATTTTTATCTCCGGGTCCTCTCGTTGTTTTCCCTCCACATTTAGAAACTCGCGTTTAGAATACTTGGGTGCCATAAACGTCCACACGATGAGCCACTTCGCTGAGCTATAATTTGTGATCGCCAAGTAGCTTTTGAAAAAGAGCTAAATAGCAAAGTGAGCCTTAAATCTAGATTTGAAGTTTCCGTGACTGCAGCGATCCATACTCTTTGGTTCTTTCGGTAAAGTCACGTAGGTATAAAATAAAATAAATTCACGACGTTTAGATTTCAACACAAGCAATCATCATCAGGTGGGAAACCCACAGCAAGAAAATGTTTTGCTGAAGTGGGAGCGAGAGTTGCCGTGGTAAGAGGTTATACGGGCAAGGAAGGGGGAGGAGCAGGGGGGGGGGAGAGGGAAAATAAAAAATATGGTTTGGCTTTAGTTTAATCTTGCGTGAAACCGCAAGCACAAGACGGGACTCAGACACCTAAGTGCTCTGTCATTACCTTCACCCCTCTCTCTGCCACCCTAAACCCCCCCATGCCCCCTCCTCACTGCCTCCCCCACAGTCTTCAAGTTTTAATGTTAACAAAAAAATAGTTCGGCCAGATATTCAAATATGATGCGAGTGAACAATCCGACGGTGTTGTCACGGGCAGACGCGGCACATGCGATGCTGTGTAAAAGCAAAGAAAAAAAAATCTAAAAATCACTCAAAACAGGTTTATTCACAACCGGCCAATGCCAGGGTTCGCGTGACGTCGTTGCGTTAACGTCAAAGACATTTCTTTTCAAACGGCTCCGAACGCGATCTTATCCGGGCGTGCTTTTGTGCCAACATTTCAAAAAATGTGCGTCAGATCGAATGGTGCAGAGAGAGAGAGACAAAGCGGAGGGGGAGCTTTTGTGCAGTCGGCACAAAGAGACAATCACGCGCGCGCGCACCATCCCTTCGAGAATTACGAATTCAACGTTGAATGACAAATCGTCGAGGCTCGGGCCGTTGAGAAAAGCACGAACTGGAAATGCGCTGTGTGCACAGCTCTCCTGTGCGTTTTCGCGTCGTGCCACGTGCTCTCCGGCACGACGTACATAGGTACGCGCGTGTGTGTGTGTGAAGAGCGGTAGTGTAGAAGATGTTAGCGCTATGCTGTGCTGCAGTCGAAACGTCATGATAATTGTATTTCGATTTAAAGCTTTCGTGACTGCAGGGATTCATCTTCTTGGTTCTTTCGGTAAAGTCACGTAGAAGGGAAGTAATAAAATAATAAAAATAAAATATAATAAAATAATTCTCCACCTGAGGACGGCTACATGCGCTGTGGCCGAAACGTCGTGAGAATTATTTTATTATGTTTTATTTTTATTATTTTATTACTTCCCTTCTACGTGACTTTACCGAAAGAACCAAGAAGATACTTTTATTGTTTCATATATTTTTTATTCTATTGTTTCCCTTCTACGTGACTTTACCGAAAGAACCAAGAACATTGTGAAATTAGTAACACGATGCAAAACGGCCCTTTGTTGTGCTCACGCACACGCTGTGCATTTGCTGACAATCGGTGGTTCTATGCGCACCGCAAAAAAATGTGGAAGAACTGCCAGCAAAGCAAGTGCCGTATTACGAAAGCAAACACGTATCGTTGTCGTTTTATTTAAAATCACGCACGAGGCTCGGGTGAGTGAGCGGTGCATTCATATGATGCACAATGAGATCGCTGGGCGAACGCGTGGCTCAATTACCGGCGACCTTCGACACGGCCTCAACCCGCCGCGATCCAGCACGACACGATGCCTCCTCCAGGGCCGTGTCGCGTCATCTTCCCACGTTGACCCAGCGGTGCTCGCACTCAACAAACCGCACGTAGGCACTCTTCTTGTTGTTGTTGTGTTCGCCTTCCCAACCACTTTCGGTCGCTACTTCCTTCGTGAACCCAAAACGAACTGCGCCCTATTCAAAACGCAAAACGCAGTCGAGCGCAAATTCCCAGCAAACGGCTGTGCAGTGTGTCCAGTGACAATAAACACCTACGTTGCTTTTAAGCGCGCGATGACGCAGCGATACATGCAATGAATCGATCACTGCGCAAATATTCCCATCTGTATGATTCGTACGAGGTAGGGCCGTAGAGCATCGCTAAGTGCACTGTGCCTGAACCTGGTGCCCCTGAGTTTCCTTCCTGGCCACGGCGAGCATTGGTGGCGAGTAATTTCTGAACAGGATCTGAGCTCCTTCGCCAATTCACCAGACCGGCGCGTGCGGCAAAGTATGGTCAAATCAACCCGCATGACTGACATACCTGAACGCAGCCCCATCGCCATCAGCAGATACTTGGCACAGTAAGATGGTCTCCTCTGCACAGCTGCCGTTCCGTGCTCGTGTCAGAAGCGTAAACGCAAAAGCGCGGCAATTGCCCGGGGAACTTTTGAAGACAATCTCGAATTGAATCCACTGCTGGATTGAGTCACTCCTCCCACCCACGCCACGTCAGTTATAGGGAATCGTTTGGCCATACTTCGGCGCAACATTCGGCGCAGGTTGGTCGAG